ACAAATATGTATCAACGTCGACGAAACTTTCATCATATATATATATATGTATATATATATATGTATGTATATATAATGTTTACAATAAAAACTGTCACCACAAATTGTGCTAAATAAAGGAAGAAATATTTGAATAATATTGAATTGAATATATACTAATTCATTCAATAATTTCAAACACATGCTTTTATCATGTTTTTCCTAAATCGAGTGATTATATTTCTGTTTTTTTGAGTTCTTCAAATGTTGGTACATGCACATCGAAAATTTTACCACCATTAACCAGCCATACGGCACCGTTAGCAGCTTCTTGAAGCATGCGTATGAATGCATTTCCAACCAATTCGGGTCTGCAGAATGATATTATGTTTATATAAATTAACTGATATTAAAATTATATAAAAATATTAAATATTAGTTTTAATAAAAAATAGTTATATTAATTAACTTATTATTAGTAATAAGTGGGTACTTACTCTTGGTCTTCTAACAAAGCTTTTGGAATTTGTTCATACGGAATGTGCTCTTGTACAATTCCATACTTTTTATGCCATGTCTCAGAGGTGTATTGGTCCTCCAGGACATAGTAATAGATATCTGATCCCGGTTGGACTACAATTTTCAGTTTGCTGCAAGTTTTTTACAAATTAGATTCATCATATGAATTTCCATGATTAAAACAGAAAAAAAGCATTTCCAACACAGATAATTTGTAATTAGTTCAAAAACATTCATTACAACGTTATTATTACTATGAGATAAAAAAACTAAGAAGTTTCTTCACGTGTATTCATTGATAAAACGTTTATTATTATGAGAGGAAAAATAATAATTTAAGAAATCATAGGGAGCTTTTAAATTATATACACAATACATTAATATAAACTACAACTATATAACATAAAGTAAAAACTAACAAGTTGGTATTGGTATTTTGCCTTGAGGCAAGTTACATGAAATTCCCGATATGTGTAATTAATAATCGACTTGATCAATAAAATATACATTAGTTTATAAGTGATTAAAAGTATTCCGAGTGGATTTATTACACATAATTGAAAACGAACGAGCACGTTAACACGGAATATTTTCTAAAAGCAAATTTTCACGCTCAATAATTGAAAACGAACGAGCACGTTAACAAGGAGTATTTTCTAAAAGCATTTATTCACGTTCAATTTAATTTATTTATTTTACACCATCTAGATAATCGATTAAAGTCATCCTGGACCGCAAACAAAATCACCTTCGTTCTTATGCCTCTGTATATTTAGAATCATCCGCAAACCAAAAAAACTCAGATGAGATATACAAAATAGAATGGTCCAGATGAGATCCTTACGGCACGTAAAGAGACAGTACATTCATCAGATATGGAGTCATTGGTTCTCACGCATAGCTTTCTACCTCTCAAATCGGATCAAACCAATCATATAACCGACCAGAAATGTCATATTTTTACAGCTTCATCAAGCACGCCATGATTAACCTATCAAAAGCTTTATGAAGTCTGTCTTTACAGCGCGTGTTCCCATTTTGTTCTCAAGATGATGCATTACATATTCTACAAATGTCATGAGATTGGAATGTGTAGAATTACCCTTATGAGCGTTGTTGATTATTCAGGGTGCTTCTAAACCAAAACTCTATTCTACTAAAAATTATTTTTTCAAATAATCTAGGTGGAGCTGATTGAATATAAATTGTCAGTGATTACATACGAGTATATTACTCACGCCTAATTTGAATACAGAGGCAGCATATACGTTTTCCCAAACAACTGAAAACATACCCCATTTTAAAGATTTATTCAGGATAAAACTTAAAGGTTTGGCATAACTTAGATGAGCATTCTTTTAGTAAAAATTTTGGTATTCCATTTAGCCCAAATCCCATTAACTGTTCAACGACATTGAAGCAATTCATCAAAGCTGATTAAAATTTTACTTAGGTTAGTGTTGCCATTGGACAGACGATTTAATAGTCGTCAAATATATGAGAATATATGTTCAGGAATATAAAGAATTGGCTTTTATCCTCCCTTCAGCTCGAAAAGTATATATAACTAGCTGACCCGGCAAACGTTGTTTTGCTAAGTAAGGTATATTCTAATCAATTTCTAGAGAATCAAAAATATTAACACTTTAACCCTCCGTCGGTCAGATATTTTTTCACCTTCGAACGGTCGGAAAGGTCTGGCTAGACCACCATTCATTTTACATGCATTTATATGGGATAAATGAGTTTTTGGTGTCTTATATATTAACGATTATTAGTAGTAAACATTTATAGTTTTGATTTTTTCTTTTTCTTACCGTCTTTTGCATGTGTTGAGCTTGCTTATAATAAAAATATTACATATTATATTATATAAAAAAAATCAAAAAATATAAAAAAATCGTTGCTTTTTTGTTAATTTTTCTGTTTTATATCAATGAAAAATTTATTCTTTTTCGGCGCCTTTGAAATGAATGTGAAATTCAAATGAAAACGAAATGAGGTGCGTCGCCTTTGAAATGAGCTATAAAACTCAAAGTGAAAATATAATTTCACTACAGCTTTGCCAAAAAAAAAATTCGAACGCAGTACGGGTAGAAAAATTTTGATAATGTTTGCATTACTCATCCGATTTTCAGTGTTTGCGATTACCAATAAGTTTGGTAGGTTTTCAAGAAACTCTCGTCATGAAAATACTAACATTCATGTTAACAACACATAGCAAAGAATATATACAACCATAGATAAACAAGTATACAACGCAGTTTGAATAGAAAATACCATGAAAAAAGACAAAATACTGGTTTACATATATCAAAAAGCGTATATTTCATACAAAATGTATGGGTAGTCTGGACAGAACTTTCCGACCGTTCTAAGTATAAAAAAGTTAATATCCTTATATTTATCCTTCTGTACATTTTTTCGTCCTGATTTTTTCAATGATCGACAGCTAATGAAAATTTAGGAAAAGTCAAGAAATTTCAAGTCGATAGGATTTCTAGAAGTTTTTTTTTTAATTGAAGTCGAAAAAAGTCTGGCCAGACCACGCCGACCGACGGAGGGTTAAGTGAATAAGGATGTGTTGTTTGAATGATACATAAAATGAGGTATTATAAAAACAATAAACCCCCATTAGTTTGTCTATATTTTGTCAATACAATCAAACAGGAAGTCTTTTTGGTCTTTCGACTTATTGATTACGTTTCAAGTTTTTCAGATTCTTTTTGGATTCTGGATTTTGTGTATAATTGTAAATAATACTACTGAGCTTATCAAAATTTTCAAATTTCTGCGAGGAGAGATAGAAAATGTATTAAGTATTTCTTCTTTGACTTGCTTTTTGAGAAGTTTCAAGTAACATCCCATAAATTAAAGTAAATTTAATAAAAAAATATATGGAGGACGGAGAACAAAGGTACAATTTAACTTTGAGCAATTATAAATTATATTATGAAAATCAAACCAATTATATCGCAACAAATAACACATTTCAAACGAACAATTATCTGACTACGTTCAGTAAACTGCCTTCTACTTCATCATTGTAGAAATGTGCTTTTTTGATGTCTTTCAAAAAGTTGTTATCTAGACCTTTTTATCCTATAGGCGGGGTAACTTGAAACGGGCAGGTGGCAAAAAAATTTAAAGTCTTATTATAATTTTAAAGGTATTTTACAAAATAATTACATTTCTAACTAATGCTAAAAAACTACCAAAGGAAGAAAATACTTTTATTATGGATTTTCAAAGATTACCGTTTATCTCCCCTATTTCAAAGATCACCGCTTTCAAATCAAGGGTATAGCTGGTTATACATCTTTTTTTCTCTACTTTCAAATTTTGTTGTTAAACAATGCTTAACTTTACTGATTTTTGACACATCGGTGGTGGACCTTTTTAACCCCGGACCTTCATATATTACTATCTATTCTTCGATAAATTTTAGGAAATTATAAGGGATCGTTCAAGTATTACGTAAGCAGATTTATTACAATTATTTACCCCCCCCCATCCCCCTTGTCAGCAAAAGTAAGCAAAGCTCTTACCCTCTACCCCCATGCTTACGTAAACATTTTGCAATTAATGTAAAAAAATAAAAATACTACCTATGACGTAATCATCATCCAGACTCCCCTGGCCCCCATGTCAACCCAAAATAAGCAAATCAACAATCCCCTCCCGCCCCCCTATAGTGCTTACGTAATACTTGAACGGCCCCTAACTGAGAAAATGTTATTCGACAAAATGTCCATTTGATCTTTCGATACCAAATTTAGGTTCTGAATTTAAATAACATAAATAAAAAATAATATAACCTAGAAAATGTTTTATAAATACCAATAAGTATATAATTATACAAATGAGATCTTTCAGAGCACCGTGTTTGAGAAAAATATGCCCAAAAGTGCATTTTCATATTAAATTTCAAAAAAGTTGATATTTTGAGTCTCTAGTAACACTTGCGGGCCTTGCGGCCCGTTTACTAACGTTTTGTGTAAAATAAAACTACTTATTACAATTTAATCATAATTAAATAATATTCACGTAAAAAATCTTATTAAACGTAATTGAACATCATCTGTCAAAAAGGTTGACATTTCACGTATTAGCCACCGTCCATTATTTTATTTAAATTCTACACAAACTTTCAAATTAAAAATGTAAAGTTTTACGCGATTTTGAAATAATATCACATCTTTCCGACCATCTCTGGATTGGCACAATTTTTCAAGACTAAGACTGGCCAAATCGGTTTGGCCGTTTTCGAGTTTTACCGAATCATTTGATCGAGAGCTCCATTTTTATATATAAGATATAAAGCTGTTTGTTTTTTTGCATTTAAGTGTTTAATGTAATAATTAATATGTAATATTTGATAACATATGTAGTATTTACAAACATACTTGAAAGCATACTGACCGCTAAACATTGTGTGAATGTCAGCAAACTACTTTTGGTGCTAGTGTAGACAGGTAACCAGCGATGTGGTAGAAGAGCTGCTATGAGCTGGTATTCACAATAACACCATCGTGGCCTGCCATAAGCTCGGCAGCAAGCTTAGTTCCGAGAATACTGGCTTTCTAATACAAAACATTACTAATTTTATTAATTTAATGTAAGTATAATTGTGAAATATAATCTTATATAATTACTGGTTTATTGTTTATATTACATAATGTAGTACAATAAACTTATACCGTATCGATTATCGAATCTTCTTTTTTCAACACTGAAATTAGTAAATTGTAAGTAAGTTTTAACTCCTTATAATTTTTCAATATCAATTGTTTTAGTTTTTAAATTTTATATTCGTAAAATACATTCTCAAATGATATTTATGTTTTTTATTAATGATATGCCCGAATATTAGACTCTGTTCAACAAATCAATATCAAATTCAAACGTACCGTACCGTAATTAAACATTCGAGGAATGAAAAAATAATCAATAATTTTTTGAAGATTTTCAAATACATTATTTATTATAAATACATACTGTAAATTTATAAGCGCTTTTTTAAATTAGGTGATGAGTGTATTTTATAAACAACTTATGTGTACGTTTACAAGAGTCTATTTTTTTTAATTAGATTTTTTGATAATTTAGAAATTTTTTAATAATTTAGATTTTTTTTCAAATTTTTTTTCGAAGTTTAAAATTCTTTGGAATCTAAAAGAAACGTTTTTTTTAATATTTTGAGAATTAGAAAATTTTGAAAATATGCGATTTTTTTTAATTTTCGAAAAATTCTTAAATTTTTGTAAAAAATAATTATTTTGCATTTTTTGAAATTTAGTTTTTTTTGAAAAGATGAAGAATTTCGAAAATTTAAATTGTTGAAACTTTGAATTTTTTTTTGAAAATTTTGATTATTTTTTTAATTTTCAAAATCACTAAATTTTCTGTAAATGCATTTTTTGCACACAATCTACTCAAGCAAAATGTTTTTTGAATTCATCTAATCGGATAATCTGTTCTCTCAAGAACTGCATAACCGTTTTTACACCCTTACGCTCCATACCTCCGAAACGGCAAAATAGCCTTTTGCAAAAACGCTTTGCGATCGAGTACGAACCGAATGATTTTTTAATCATACAAATCGGTTATTTCATACTGTCGAAAATGTCGAGGACATTTGTTTGAACCATATAACAAAACTTCGAAATTAAAAATCTTGGTACGGAACCCAAAAAAAAATTACACAAAATGTGTACACAATATTAAAATCTCTATAAAATATCTGATAATTTGATGTACATATGTCCAATAAACATTTTTGACCGCCAAATGACATTTTTTTAAATTATTTTTATTGAGAGTCCATAACCGCTACATCTACCTTTCCAAAAATTACGAGTTGTTCGTTTCGTCAATACAAGTAAAATGTTTTTTGAATTATTAAAATCGGACGCTCCGTTCTCTTAAAAACTGAGTTACTGTTTTTCGCACTTTTTGCCCCATGTCTTCGGAACGGCTAGACCTGCCTTTGCCAAAAACTAATCAGCACGTCTCCTTATCAATACGAGTCGAATGTTTTTTATTCAAATCGCTTCATCCGTGTTCCCGAAATCGTCGACGAAAATTTGTATCCGCACACACACACATACACGCACATACACATACACACACACATACATCCATTTTTTCTAAGGTATGCCAAAATGTTCAGAAACCTTTGAAACGTAAAGATATATAAAAATTTTCATTTTCGATTTTTTTTGCGATTACTATAACTTGCCCTACGGGAAGTTAATTATAAAATTCCAGATCCTCCCCCCACGAAGTAATGGTGGTTTCCGTGGGAATCAGAGGCAAGGGCAAAGCGGAGGTTTTAGTTGGTATTATACCAGGGCGGTATTGAGTCCAACATACCCATAATGAAAAATTACAAATTAATTGAATTCATACGTTTTGATTTATATATATTTTATATAAAGAAAACCATTTAGCCAAAAAAACTAAGTTTGAACAAATACGTCCTAAATTTGAACTAAAAATTGAAATTAATTACATACGTAGGGAAGCTGGGGGCAATATTTAACAATAATAACGAAATCAAAATCTTGAACAATAACGATATCAAAATGTTGTTTTGTCTCTATTGAACAGGTAAACGGACCTGCATAATATTTCATTACTTTTGTCCTGCAGGCCGGCGCAGTTAACAGAACTGCGCAGGTACGACATTTTTTGATAGGTAATTCAAAATTGATCTATCATAAAATTTTGGTTTGCGTTATTATTATCAACTAAGTTTATATTTCATATATCTTATTTCGCTTCAAATTTATCAATCTTTGATAATGTGATTGCTAAAATGTACAAATAGATATCTTGATTAATGTAAAAAAATTACAACGGAATGTGTAGTTTATAAGATGTAGGTACCTGTAAATTGAGAAACAGAAACCACTATATCTTTGATTTCAATTATGATAATAATTGTAAATTACGTTGATATATGCTAAGCATTTCTATTACGGAAGGCAACTGTATTTTTCTGTTATATTAGTTAGTTATAGTCACGGCGTTGATTTATAAAAAGAATTACTTAGAAACAAGTCAATTATCTTAAAAATAAGTAAAGAATAAAATATCAGATGCATCATTGTCGTATTTTGTCATTAGACTTAGTAGACATAATGCCAATTACCCAATACCGAACTTATTTTTAGAAAATAATTAATTGTGAAATGATGAACAACAGCTGTGGAATTATTTTTACTCAATTCAATAAAAGGATAGTTACAGCAACCATCGATCCTTATTTATAGAAATGTAATTAGTGGATCACAAAAAATATTAAATTTTGAAAAAATTGTTACAACACGTGTAGCATGGTAGTTAAAACGAATTTAAATAATGTAAATCAAAGATTAAAATTATGTATACTGTCAGAATTTAGAGTTACTGTACGAAAGTTAAAACAACTTGAAAGCTTAATATTAAATAAACAATAAACATACAAAAGTATTGCTAACAAATGATTAGATTATCGTCTAGAGTATGTCTAGCAATGCGATTAATTTACTTAAATTCGTTTAATCCCTTTATCTGATTTAGATAATTTAACGAAATTGATCATTTTTAATTTTAAACAAATCGCACGCACCTATTTAATACTCCCATATCATTATCATTTGTAAACAAATAATATTTATCATAAAGTGATTATAGAAATTATTTACGTTTTGAAGCCACCTGATTATTTTATTTCACAAAATATAGAATGTGTATAACAGGTGTTTATGATGAATTTATTGAGAAAAAACTCATAAATAGATTTTAACATACGACTTAAACACAAGATGTGAGAATCCCATCAAACGAGAGATTCATTTGAGATAATATTAGCAAAAAAACACACAACCCTTACGAATTTGATATGGCGATTAAATGTAAAATGTACATTTTTAACGTGTAGTTATTCAACCGCTTGTCTAGCATCCCTAGATAATATGAGAATATAATATATTCATATGTTATATGCAATCATCTAGGTTACGTTAAAAATACACTCATAGGAAATGTGCACTTTTAGCGGAGAATGTGTACATTTACCAAAACAGTAGGTAGATTTGAAATGAAAAGACAAATTTATACTTTTACTTTCACGTTTTGGTAAATGTATACTTTTACATTTATGTTTTATAGAAGTTAAAAAAGAAACTAGTGGGACGCATGGCATCGTGCCTTAAAGCAAATTGCTGTAACTTCCCGTACCAAAAAAAAATTTTTTTTTAAAGATCAACATCTTTGAAAAAATTTTACTTTGAAAAAATAAGATTTTTGAGAAACTATAATTTTTTTACAAAAATTTACTATTTTAGAAAAAAGGCTTTTTCTTTTTCTTTATTTTGAAATAGTTTGGAAATTTTGAATTTTTTTCAAAGCATATTGAGCTACCGTTTTTAGCACTTTTTGCCCCGTATCTTCGATACGGCTAGACCTGCCTATGCCAAAAACTAATCAGCATGTATCCTTATCAAGAGCAATCGAATGTTTTTTGAACAATTGAAATCGGTTGAACCGAGTTCCCGAAATCGTCGGCAAAAAATTGTATCCGCACACGCATACACACATACACAGATACACACATACATAATTTTTTTCTAAGGTATGCCAAAATGTTCAGAAGATTTTGAAACGTAAAGATATATAAAAATTTTCATTTTTGATTTTATTGCGATACAGGATTTACTCTACAGGAATTTAATAATAAGTTAAATATTTGTTCAAAAAGCGCAATGCCAAAGTCGTTAATAAATAAAATTATTTTAATTTAAAAATGTAAATGACAAACAAAACATAATTTTCTTTGCTTATAATGTAACATGTAGGTTCAAATAATAATAGATAATAAAATAATATTCTACAATAAACCTATAGTAATAGGTGATAAAAATTTTGTCCTAGTTTTTCAGGACTAATGCGATATAAATCAAATAAATAATGACCAAAATGCTAACAATAATAGAAATGGTAATTAAATATAAAATTTGTAAACTTGGTTATTATGTCAAATCATAACATATCCCCATATACTTAATTAATCGTTTAACATGACTAATATAAAACTGTTGGTTACCATATGTTACCTAATTATAACAAAAAAATATTTAATCTTACCACATTGATATCAATCATCTTCTCCCAAATTGATTCAGCTAATATAGCTGCATTATTCAGAACTATTCTCACATTATTCAATTTTTCTCTGGCAAATCCAAAAGCAGCTTTTAATTGATTGAGATCACTTACATCAGATTCATAAAATATAATTTTATTTTTACCGTATTTTTTTGATAGCTCTACGGTTAATTCATCGAATTTTCAGACATGTGATCAATTATTAATACTTTCTGAAATAAATTGGATAAATATTATTATTTCAAATAATATTAAAAATATTATTTTTTTATCTATATAAGTACGTTACAGTTTTGTGCCATAAATTAAATTTAGCGTCATGCACATTATATTATTGCAGCATATGCAAATTTCAAATGCAAATGAATTTTAATTTTGAATATGTTAGTATATTTTATATTGCAAATCCAGTGAACATTTTAGACGTCATTACCATGGTGGAAGCTTTAGTTTATGACACAAAACTGAGAAATTAGTAAATTTAAAATTATGTATCATATGTCATAGAAACTGTCAATCGAATTTACTGATTAGTACCTTTTTACATTCGCCCTTCAGATTTTTTTAAATAATGCTTAGAGTTCTCGACTACTCCAAGTTTAGCAAAAAGGCGGACAAAAAGCCAATTATCTGCTTTTTATTTCGAAAATAGTTGATATCTTTCTTACTATGCTATAAATCACATATATAGCTATTTAGATCAAAAATATATTAGATCGATTTTTGGCAATTACATTAATAATATAAAAAAGTTTAATAGAAATTGTATTTTATTTAGAAACTGCACAGAAATATAAGTAAAGTAGAATTAAAAAATAGTTAATTAGAAACTAAATATTATCAGATTTGTTGAATTGAATTACAATAAAATCAAAAGTATGGAGACAGCAAGAGAAAGGTCAGAATTGGAGAAGATCAGAAATAAGTTCAGTTGAATTTGAATAAATCATCAGAAATAAGAAGGAAAGCTAGATTAGAATTCGAAAAGTGTATATTTAAAAGAAAAAAAAGAATAAAGAAATCAGTTGCAAAGAGCTTAACATTAGATAGTACATATATAAATAAAAAATATTATAGAATATATATGCGAAGATCATAGATAAATAAGCATGGCGAAGATAGTGTAGAATATATAAATATGATGTAGAATATTAAAAAAATGAAATGTAGGTGGCTTAATGCTCTAAATAAGGGGGCCAACAATATTGATTATATATATATATATATATATCGTTCAATTAAATTTTAACAAAAATATAATAAAGATTCAATTTCTTACTTCAATTTTATGTTTGAGCAAAAGCTCAGCAGATGATAGTCCGATACCAGACACTCCACCAACAATTATTGCATGCTTTCCTTCAAAATTCATTTTAGCCTATATCGTGGGCACAGGTTGAAGTACAACTAACGACAGTCGCTGATATGCATGCAAATGCGTCAAATATAAGGCAAGCAATTTGAAAAAGAGCGATAAGATTAAATATTTAATCTAATTTTTTCAAGGTATATTTTTGAATTTATTGAAGTAAATTTATCAGTTAACTTGATTGAGAGTAGATAATTTTCTTTTATAATTAATTTTTTTAAACGTTAAAGGGCACATCTAGTGTAAATAAAAAAGGTGATTTTGGGGAATTTATGTTAAAAAAAATACTTTATCAATCATTTCAAAATTTTAAGAATATGTTTACACATGTTTTAAGAACACATAGTAATTAAATATTTTTTAAGTTATCGTCGATCCCCAACGGCGCGAAAAAAGGCCCTTCTCATTAAACTAGATAATACTGTCTGTAAAATGACCTACGATAAAAAAATAAAAAATGACAAAATGGCGGCGTTAAAAAAAAGTCAAATTTTACCTAAAATTTTGGTCGTTTTTGAACTGCCAAAATTTGATTTTTGATCCGATCAAAAAATCGATAGTTTATTTTACGGAGAACTATATATAGAACATGTAAAAAAAATTGATAGTGATCGAAACATTTGTTTTTGAGTAATCGTTGCAGCAAATTCGGGAAATGCTTTTTCGAGGAAAACGCGTTTAAAGATAAACCATGAACCTCGAACTAAAACATTTCTCAATAACCTCAACAACAAACTCAAGTATGAGCTAAGATTATTCAATCAGCAAAATTTCGAGAAATCTGCTTAAATACAAGAGGCACTTCTCTATGGCGCGCAACCAAGTCTAATAAAAGAGTGAATATCTTAAGCAATCCAATTGAAATGTTCAAACCAGGAGGGTTCACGTGGGCTCGGAGTAATAAAGAGAAAGCCGACTGCTTTGCTGATTATCTTGAATCAGTGTTCAAACCTAACGATAACGGAAACAGCATCAGCAATCACGAAATAAGTCATCTTGCTCTAAACGTTACTATTACTCGTACATCGACGTTTTCACCAGACACAATACGCTCGCGTTGCTTGGAAATAAAAAAATAGAAAG